TATATATACAGACAAAACATCCATATGTATATCCCTTATATATACAGACAAAACATCCATATGTATATCCCTTATATATATACAGACAAAACATCCATATGTATATCCCTTATATATATACAGACAAAACATTGGTATGTATATCCCTTATATATACAGACAAAACATCGGTATGTATATCCCTTATATATACAGACAAAACATCCATATGTATATCCCTTATATATACAGACAAAACATCGATATGTTTATCCCTTCTATATATACAGACAAAACATCCATATGTATATCGCGAAACTGTTGATATTTTGTCAGTAAGTGTCCGACATCTTTGACGGGTATCGCAATATGTAGGACAAGATATTGGATATCGAATCATCAACGACATGTATACCGTAGAGTAGACTGGATGTAAGCACCAAGTAACCAATTACAAATATTATTAAGCAGTGTGTTATAGAGGTAAGCCGTATAATTCCTTTCTTATAACAATGCAGATTGCGGTATTTCTGAAGTTGATCTGATTATCATCTTGGATTCATCAACGAGTGTCGGTGAGGAGAACTACGGCAAGATGCTACAATTCTGCAAGGATTTCCTCGGAAATGCTGATCTCGATTCCGGAAGTGTCCGAGTTGGCATGGTCTTATATAGCTCAAACGTAGAGATTCAGTTCAATTTAAATGACTATTCTTCCTCAGCTGACATATTTGCCGCTATTGATAAGATCCCTTATGTATATGGTAGTACAAATACCGCGGACGCTATACAGACAATGAGAAACATGTTTAACGCAGCGGATGGTGATAGGGATGGGGTTCCCAATGTAGGTATTGTTATAACCGACGGCGTCTCAAACATCAACTCTCGACGTACTATTCCGGAAGCAGATGGAGCGAGGGCTGACGGGATACATGTGTACTCCATTGGTATTGGTCTGACCGACACAACTGAGGTGGACGCGATAGCCAACCAGCCGCCCGAGGATAACAGTTTCAACGTGCAGAGCTTTGATGAATTAAAGGGTCTAGATAAACAAATATTTTCCTCTTTCTGCGGTGGTAAGTTATCTGTATTGTTCTTTATATACATTTTTCAGTTAATTTTTTCCAAACATAACACGATATTTTTCATTTCAGTGTGTGTCGTCGATTTGAATGTTTGCTAATATCACTGCATACATGTACACTGCACAATGTAGCTAGTATCACATGAACGCTAAAGGTGTCCTTTATGTGTTAAATATCGCTTACACTTGTATACCACTATAACATGTATACCACTATAACTTGTCGCCCCAATATCATGTCGTGTCTATGTTGTCATAAATGATGTCCCTAGACAACTCACTATGTCAGTCATTATATATGTGTGTGATGTTCTAGTGAGATTGTATATAACACTTGTTGTGTTACTGTGTGTTATGTTTGTATCTGTAAACGTCATGTAACAGGATCAAGAGTTACAGTACCACCAACCGCGGGACCGTCACGAAAACCAGGTAAGCATACACCTTTTACTTACTGTTGATTATATATATATATATATATATACTGTATACACATTGCAGCTGTTCTTAACTCTATAGAATTGTGTCTTATGGAAAAGAGATATAGTTGTGTGTAATGCTCAGTTGATTGTTAAATGTGGTTATGAGACTGTTGGTGTTAATTACCTTTTATATATGCCATTCGGAAAGATGTTTTTGTTTGCAACGTATTATTGGCCATTCGGAACAGCTTGTGTTCAAAACGGCGATGGTTTGTGTTCGCATATTTCGATTATCACAATTCAGAGCTAATGAGAAAAACAGAATTTGCTACATACAATGTGTGTATTGGATGTTACGTGAATATGATTAAAACAATTATAGGATATAACTTTCCAATATTTGTTCAGAAATCGCGCAAGGAAATGCTCAAAGTCCACTAACACAGATGGTATGTTAGGTTTTCACAGGTAGTCCAGGGAAAGATCAAACTCGGTCTGTTAATATAATGCATACATAGTTAAGTGCTTTTCTGGATGCAGAAAAAAGTAGTCTCCTACAAAGGGACGTTACTGGGGGTGATTTAAATCTAAAAAATAATATTTTCATATAGAACTGATGTATCACTCGCTAGCAAGATATCTTACCCTAAACATGATGACAGGACACTTAGCTAAACATCTGATAAAAGTGTAGGACCGTGCGCGCTGGTTCTTTGTTACACCTAATCAAAGATACGAGGTGAATAGGAGGTACAACCTACATGTATCACATCTAGGCACGAGTAACATAGTCATTTATTGTTAACATCGTAAACCTAGTCACTCAGATTTCATACTGTTACCTACATGTATGAATTTAATCAGAACGATTATATGTATAACATGCCCTTAATCTCCAAACTCATTTTATACTTGTCATTATGGTTTATGTCAACACAATTATTTAAATTTTCCAAAAATTTAATTTCTTTTTTTTTCTTTCTCAAGAAATCCAAACGATGATTAAGGTTATTGTGTGTTTTCTATTTGATATCCGGATTAGGCTCTGTAAGATTCCATTCATCATCTATACACTTATCATGATCTCATGAATATTTATGAAAAGCAAATAGAATGGGCCGTGACAAACTGGAGAAAAATGTCGGAAAGTGAGTCCATTCATTTTTAAACGAATACGAAAAAACACCTGTTCATATGTTCCTCACCTGATGTGTTTATTCGCTTCATAAATTTATAGAAGAAAATTAACTGTATCCCATTCAGAGCTGTCAGCCTGGTGATTTTATATAGGTAAGCTAACACGCCACTGATACGGGAGGCGGTGTCTACCATGACATTACTACTGCTGATATTGAAAAAAATACAAACAGATATGTCTAACTCTCGATTATAAGTACTGTTATGTAGTGAGAGTGTTATTGACACTGATGACTATCTCCGACTGACACAATAGGTAACGAATGCTTATACGGCGTTAAACATTCACGTTGACTTTTGAATCACTCATTTATAGAAGCGACCTATACGCCCAACACGCGCATGTATGTGCGTCCATAATTGGGGAGAATGTTATGGTACAGAGCTCTGATTGTTTAGAACCATAAAAACAAACTGAATCAGTGACATCTTCCAGAATATTACAATTTGGAAAAGCAAAGAAAAATGACAATAAACGAAAATATGTTTGTGTCGGATTTAAAATGAATCCCCTCAAATAACACACACATAAACTTTCTATAGCTTTATATAACGCTCAAAAATTAAAAACAAAACACCTGATTAACGTGTAATCCTTATACAGTTGAATCCTGAAAGGTAGATAATGATCGCATGAAGTCGATACATCATTTGATGTGTGGGTTTATTCCTTCAAACACGTAAATGGAAAACAGTGCCATTGGACAGTTAGAAACTTTATTTTAGCTTAAAAGTACATGTTCTGTAGAAAAGCTACAGATTTTGGTAGCGTTTCTGTGATAAAGCATACATACATTATCTGTGAAATATATATATGAATATCTGTGTACATTTCTGTGCAGATTAAGGGAAGCAGTTGCCTGGTAAAGCACGGGTACATCGCCTGTGAAAACTTAGTATTGTATACCCTACATTTCTGTATCTACGGCTTTGAGGAAGCCCAGCTCATATAAAGCATGAATGCACCCGTAAGGAAACATCTGTATAGACGATAAATATATAATGTACACAAGTGATACATTCATGTGTAATACACTTATCAGTGTAATAGGTAATCATGTCACACACCATTTCGAAACGTAAATAATTTGAGGGTGTGATCTGAAAACGTTAACCTTAATGGATTTATGCGTGTAAATTGGACACTGATGATAGATGCTGTCCTATGGCTAGTTTCCTAACAAATCGTTTGACAGAATAGTGGGTGGTGTCTAGGGAAAACACTTTGGATGGGGCAACAAGTAATTTACTCAATATGTAGGATTAAATGAACATCGGCAAGGTCACAAAACATCGGGATATAAACAGAATGAACTAATTACGTAACACATGACCAATCTTCCGTCAGCTGGGCAAACAGGGTTCACAAGTAATCACACTAAATGACAAATAGTAGATGGTGCATTTCTCTCGCCCCTTTTATCTCTAGATCGGCGACGTGAGAGTGTAGTCTTAGGGCCACTATGCAGTTGCTGTTGTTCGCTGATATATTGTATGCGGATTTTACTTCTTCGCATGTGATAAGGCTTTATATATTGTGTATGAGGTCTGTACTGTCGCGATTGGTTCCAAGGATGAAAGCTGGAGGTGTAAATGCATTGCTGCAAAAACTTGTCTAAATCGGAATTTACTGGCGTTTGGGTTTCGTCTTTCTAGCTAAAGAGTGTGTGATTTCAGTTAGAACGGATGTATTCAGCGTGTTGTGTTGGGATATATAAGCTTCTCCCTATGGATTCCAGGTATCAGCCTGTTCTGTGTTTACTGACTTGACTAACTTATTCTGTTAAAATTTGGATATGAAAATATCGAGGTAAATTATGTGACTCGCACACGATGCCAGTAACGTGCAACGCAGATATTGGATTATGTATTTTCATCAGAGTAAACGCTTTTCTTTCAGTCTCAACTCCCGTGCCGCCAACGCTTCCACAGCCGACACAAGGTAAGGTCAGATGGTATCATGTTGTATTACCCGAAGCGCTATATTATTCAGGTTTATTGGATACAATATACATGTACACATGAAACATTATATGTAAATTAGAAAACTTTCATATAATATTTTATATCATATTTATGTCACTGACTTTTATGCAATAAGAAAATAGTTATACTAATTTAAAAACTGGTTTTATTTATTTTTTAAACACGGTGGAAATTATGATGTCTATCAACGTATATCCAAATTCATAAATACAAATAATGACCTGCTTTATATAAACATAAACACAATACATGTATGTTAGTTAGTTGTATTCAATTAGCATTGAATTTTAACAGCAATAATAATGATGCTCAATTATTGTTTGGGTGAAAAATGGACTGTAGGATTGCAATGGTGATATACTTTTCTTTTAATTTCGATACAAAAATATCGGCTTTTCTTCATTTTTTTCATGAACTAGAAAAATAATCTTACCAATGAACTACAACGAGCACCAATTCATGTAACATTTCCTTTCTACCTATATAACTGTCAAATACAATCTCGTGTATATTACGGACTCTAGGTTAGACATACAAAAAGTCAAAGAAGTCATCTTGGTTGACTTCTTTGTTAAGAATACTGGGGGCCAAACGGACACTGTGCAAAAAAAAGGACCGAAATTTACATTAATTATAATGGTGAACTCTCAGCAAGTGCAACCGGAAGTGCTATAGATTACAACGAATGTCAAAATAACTGTCATTGTGGATTCTAAAATTTCCAAAATTTGAAGTAATTATGATTTGTAGACTCTAAGCCAAAAGTGATATAAAACATAGCGGAAAATAGGCGAGGGATACCGAAAGTCAGATTAATCAGGCGAGGGATACCGAAAGTCAGATTAACCAACATTTTTGAGACAAGAACAGTCATACCGCATACAAATATAGTATCAGGACGCACCTCGAGGAAGCTAAAATCAAGTTTTCGATACGAATAAAAAAAATCACTTCGTTATCTACAAGTCGGCACACCCACTTCTCCTAACAAATATATGATAAATTGAGCTGAAATTAATTCCTCATTTGATTGTTAGGTATAGGTAATACCTTTGATAGTATATTTGGCATCAGAACAAACATGCACACTAACAAAATTGGGTGTCAATATTGGAGTGTTGTTATATACCAAAATATATATTCATCGTAACTAACATGATTTCAGATTACCCCGAGAACACATATTTTATAGGGGTTATTATAGAGACTGTTTTGCCTTTCCATTTGTTAAATGTCTCCTCAGATTCTGTTGATGTCTTTGGTTTTGTTATCTCCTCAGTTCATGTTTTTGTTTCTTTCCTTTTGTGTTCCTGTCTCCTCAGATTCTTTTTCGTGTTCTTCTATTTCCGTGTCTCCTCAGTTCTTAAAAAAAATCCCTTGGTTTTAGGATCTCATTTATTATTATTTTTGTCTTTCGTTTCGGTATGTCTCCTCTGACCCTGCCGTATTTCCTTTCGTTTTCCTGTTTCCTTATTTTCCTTGTTGTCTTCTCTTGTTCTTTTGTCTGCTCAGTGTCTTTTTTGTCATCTTTGCTTTTGTGTTTCCACATTCTCTTCTTGTTGTTTCTTTCGTTTTTATATGTACTCTGTCATTCTTTTCAATATTTTATAAGTTGCCCTCAATTCCTGTTGTAGTCTATCCTTTAGTTTTGTTGTCTTTCAAATTCTAAATGTTGTCTCTCCTTTTGTTTTGGTGTCTCCGCAGTTTCTGCGTGTTATATTTTTTAGCCCCATGTCTTTTCAGCTCCTGTTGTTGTCGTCCTTCCTCTCGCTTTGATTTGTCATGAGTTCCTGTTGTTGTCTTTCCTTTTGTAATTATGTCTCATTAGTTCCTGTTGTCTTTCGTGTTGACTTCTGGCTCCTGAATTTTTGATTTGTTGGTTTATTGTTGTCGCCACTGTTTCTGTTGCCTTTTCTGTGGCTTTGTGGTTTTCTTATCTATTGTTCCCTCAGTTTCTGTTGCCTTCCCTTTTGCTTTGTCTTCTAAGTTGTTGTTACCTAGCTTTCCTTTCTGTTTATTTGTCTCCTTAATTGCATTTGCCATCATTTTTGGTTTGTCTCCTTTAAGTTGCTGATGCTTTTCTGTTTGTTTTGGTATCTCCATAAATGCTATTGCCTTCCTTTTGTTCGTTTTGATGTCTCCTTAGCTACTGTTGTCATACTTTTTAATGCCCCCGCCATCAAATGGGGGGGGGGGGGGGATA